TCGCGATTTTTCCCAGACACAAAGAACTGCATGTTCTACTGTGTCCAGTAGAAAACCAATCTCTCCACGACAATTAACAACTGGTAAGCAGGTAATGCCAAAACAAGCCAAAAAAATGCCAATAGCCTGTTTCTAAGTGATCCATGAAAGAGGAAGCCATCGGTAGCCCAACAGACATGTACTGCCAGATAGCGAAGTGCTACAACAGCTCGAACCGCTTCCAGTGCGGCTGTCGCTCCTAGAACATTGGAATACTAGATACAATGAAAAAAAGCTTCAATGATGTAAGTGTGAGGTACTTCACGATAAGTGTAGTATAGGAAGATATCGCTAGCATATTCAGACATTTCAAACGGATCGTCCCAATTGCCTGCATCGTAATCGAAATCAGGACACGGGTCGACCCAGCTCTGGAAAAAGTTACCTTTTTCAGTGCATATTAATTTCGATAATCAGTAATTTTTAAACTATCAGATCACCAATTTTATCTCTTTTACCTTGTTATCAAAGACAGTACGAAATTCATGGGTTCGAACAACGTAATATTATTGAGAAAAAGCAGAAGATTAATAATCAATAAAGTCGAAAAACTCGTTAATCCGCTTGTTGCAAAGGCGTAAGAATTCGTAAGCAACCCAACCGGTAGCAATTATTAATTGCATCAGGATAGTGCACATATTTTTAAGTAAATTTCCGGCATACAAAATGTAAGCCGCATAAAATTTACATAAATGGGGCTAATTTACATAGTCTTCAATCTAAGTAAGCATAAATTTTGCCTATAAAATGAGTATTCTATGAGTGAAATCATTTTGCTGGACTGCCACCACGATGATGCGCTCGGTTCTCTCATCGCTCTCCTCGTTTTCCTAGAAAATCCGCCTTACGGAGCTGCTGGCCAAGCCGAGGAGATGATTGAGATGGATACGAACTGGCACAAACGGCTCGAATTGGAATTGATTGATAAGAAGGAGTTCTATGAATGCTGCTACGATGGAAAGAGAAAAGCCTCATCCGGGAGGAACAGCGATCAGACACGGGGCAGAGATGCGAGTCGTCATTTCTGTCACCCTCAGGAATGGGATTGAGGCGCATGGAATGTGTTCAGGATATTTTATTGGATCTTCGAAATCCGTTGCACTTGGACACAGTCAGCTTTTCGAAAAAAAAAAGACTGATACTCAAGACGACTCGCTGTTCGCCTTCGAGTATTCAGAATATTCTCCAGTGCTGCACGGACAACAAATTACTACGCCCTTGATTGCTTCCGATGAATCATCGAAATCCGTTGCCAGAGAAAGCGTCAATCCACCCGGACACCGAAAAACTACTGCATCAGCTGAATCGCCGCAAAAAGCTCACTGTTTCCTGGCTGGTTGCAGCTACAGATATGGGAAATTTATATTGCACTGGATCATCAAAGTCCATCACGAGAAATCCGGAGATCCGCCAACCG